AGCAGCCTAGCAGGAAAATACAAACATGAAAGCCGTCGGAAATGAATCGTTAGCACATACTTAGACCATTCCACGTCTTATTTCAGTATTGCGATCTTTATTTTTTTTAATATTGAACTTTATTTATTTTAATTTTTTTTGACGCTTCGAAATTTCTGAAGTTAGCAGCCTAGCAGCCTGGCAGCCTAGCAGTCTAAAGAAAACTAAGAATTGCACAAACATGAAAACAGTCGGAAATAGAATTTGAAAAAATAAAATAAAAAAAAAACGAATTCGAAAACCTAGCTATAAACGTCGTTTTCCGGTACTTTTTTAACATAGCTGTGGGAAATTCCGCTAATGGAGTGTAATAACGAATTCTTCGTTTTTGGTCGATATTGAATTACCAGATACAACTTTGTAGGAAAATAATTAAATATCATTAAAGGAATAATTCCATACAAAAATAAAGTAAAATACATTGTACACAAGTTTAATCAGAAAACATCTCTCTTTATTTATTATGGAAGATGCCACTACGACTGTTTTAATTTCATTGAATTTCATTATAAAGAATTCAATTTTTTGAAAATTTTGCAAAAGATGTAAAAGGGAACATTGATAATTTTCAAACACGTCAAGTTTTTTCACCTTACACGGCAAAATAATGATAGAAAAATAGAAATATCATGTAACAGTGTTATGTACTTCATTTGGTGTAATTCCCCAGAGGTAAACGCATAACATACCGGAAAACGTTGTTAAGCTGGGTTTACGAATAAGTCTATAAACTGGAGTCAGAGTAAAGGAATCACAGATTCATATATGGAGCAATCACCTTTTAAACATCTTTAATAGATGCATGAAAACAACGTGTATTTAATAAATAGGCGAATGTAATTGCGTTTTTTTGTTTGTTGTTTTTTTTTCTATCTCTTTTTTGCTGAAAACACGACCTGGTGCGTAGCTTGCTTAACGCACTAACGTGCGTAACATTTATCGGGGAAATGAAAATTATATACAAGAAAAGCATTGATGCAAAGCATCAAAGGCGATGCCAAAAAATTTGATCAAGTTTTGCACCTAAATACTAAACAAAAGATGTGTACTTTATAGCAGTACCATTACATGTGCCCTGGAGGCTAGGTCCAGTTTAAGTTGAAAGTCTTGCCAAGATGCAAAGACAATTTATAGTCAATTAACCAATCTTATAAGACTCATGCCATAAGAGAGAATTTCTTCAGATTTATTTTACCAGATACAAGGATACCGGAGTCATCAGCATATAATAAAAGCTTATTGCTTAGTGTTGCAGACATGTCATTGACATATATTGGACATAAAAGAGGACCTAAAATAAACCTCAGGGGGACACCATAGGTACTCGGAGTAGTAGTAGAATGAGTACCAGCCACATCCACCAGCTGCTGTCTATCAGAGATAAGACTTGAACCATGTAAGAATGTCCTTACCTATGGCAGATGCTTGAAGTTTCATGAAGAAGAAGAAGAAGAAGAACTAATTCATGTGCAGTATAGTGTGATCAACTGTATTAAGGTAGACCATGGGTAATGGGCACCATAAAGAACCATAAAATTGACAACATAGGACAGTTGTATGTCTTCAAGGTCACCTGTATGCAAAATTTAAATAAAATTTACCGTGTGGTTTATGAGTTATGGATATATTTCTGAACTAAGACCTTGCCATTTGAAGGGCTTATTTTCAGAAATGAGGAAACTGTAAATAATCTGTAATATCATCATTATAAAAAATGTTTTTCTATTGCTCATTGTTAAGAAACAAATAATAACATTCAAGTAACACATTACACAACCAAAATGTTTGGTTCTAAACAAAATATTCTTAAAATGTATAAAAATGTAACCCTACCCCACCCACTTTTAACACTAATTTTACCATTTCCCTATCTAAAATGCCTTATTTAAAATATCCCTAAAATTTATCGAAATGAGGGTCTGTTTTCAAACTTTGCCTAAATGTTTTCAAAGGTATATTAGTTGATCATGCGAAATATAAAATACTTTTACCGTGTAGTTTTTATTTTATCGAACTTTGAAAATATCTGGTATCATATTTGTTATAAATTTTGGCATTATTTAACCAAAAAAATACCTAAAATAATTATATAATTAAAATCAAACTTTTTTTCTTCCATAAGGGATCAGAGAGATACATAAAAAATTTTAAAAAGAAAAAAAGAAAGAAAAAAATAGTTGCCCCTTCTGGGGTTTGAACCCACGCCCCTCAATTTCAATGTAGTTTACAAGCGATTCTAGCCTATTTGAATACTCTTCAAAGTGGAGGTAATGCATTACCCATGGTCTACCTTAAATGCCTTTTGTAGATCTAAAGGTATCATGCAATACTACCTTTGTCGATTTCAAATTTAATACAATCTGTTACATGAATCAAACATGTGTCAGTTGAAAAACCACTTCTTAACCCTGACTGAAACTGCCTGACCATGACTTTAACCCATGACTGTCAGAAGACCAACTGAGCTACCAGGCCGGCTACACGTTTTAATAATGAAACAGTTATAAACCACAACATATTTCCCACTATATTGATTTGTGTCCTTAAATTTCTGATGTTTACAGAGCATAGTGAATTAAACTCAGGGTTATATGCAGTCACAGGATGAGAAAAACTTTCAGCTTGACCAGAACTCGAACCTGTGACCCACAGAATAATGTACCGCGGCTGTAGCGATTGAGCTATCTGGCCGCTTACACATTTTCTCCCCTAAATAGTGAACAGTTCTAAACCGTGACAGATACTTTTAGATTTTTAAATTAACAGGTAGATTAATTCTTAATTAAACAAATAAGAAAAAAAACCTTACATACTCATAGTCTTAATCAAAATAACAATTTATATATTGTATAATTATTTTTACTAAAAAGGGCTTAGACAGTTATTGGTTGTGCCATTATTTATAACAGGTCAATTTGAAAGTGAACATAACTGTACTAATACATACATGTACAATATCTATTTTTTGTACAGATAAAAAACTAACCTTTTTTCTATGATAAGAAATTTTATGAAGGCTGATTTGTATTTTGCATCAGGGGCACCGGGCGAAAACATGAAAATGCAACAAACGAACCACTTTGTGGTAGATTGTATTTTCATGTTTTCATCTGGCGCCCGGTTACTTTTTGTACTTTGTTGGTTTTCATGTGGCACAAATCACCCACTATAAAATTTAGTGCACAAATTTATTCAAGGGCAAGTAACAATCTACTCTATGAAAAGTCTGTTGTCGGGTTGACTCTGGAGACCTGGAGGTTGAGACCGGTGTCCCTCCATTACAAATAGATAAGACAGAAGCTGTCCTTTTCAAACTATGCACATGTTAGAAAAAAATTAGAATAACTATTCAGAATATGATTTTTTGAGACTTTATTAATTATATTGCTTGATCCAAGTTTAAGGACATTTTCAATCAATACATGTATTATCATTTATAACTTTAAATGAAAGTCTCATCCCTTTAATAATAATGTCATAACTGTAACTCTTTAAATACAGAAATATTATAAGTCTCATCATATCAATATACTAAGATATACATGTATGCACATAACATTAATAATTCCCAGTTTCTATTAAATAAATATGAAATCCTAACATTAACATTAACATTGGTACTAACAAACAAGCTTTTTTTTCTAAAATAATGTTCTATATTTATAAAAAATAGTCTTAAGTATAACAGAAATTCTTCCGCTGATAGTTCCAGCTTTTCTTTAAGTGGTAATAAGTGCCATGTTGTTTGCATCGTTTATACACAAAAAATTGTGTCGTTTGCCTTTTCTCTATTTGCATGAACTATCATACCTGCTATAGTCTATGTTTAATGAGGGTCCATCAAAGTCATCATCACCAAGATCATGGGAGGGCCAACGATTATATTGCAAAAACTATTGACCCAACCATTTTGCATATTGTGTCTATGAAAAAAATGATGTATATTTTATATAAGCAATAAAATACTATTATACTAAACTAGTCCCCAAGACCATACTCATTATATTTACCATCATTATCATTATCCTCACTTCACCCATCAAAATTATTATTATAATCACATTCATCATTATAATCTAAATCATCATCAAAAAAATATTTATTATCATCTCTGCCATCGTCATTATCATCAAACATTATTAGTATTTTATACTTTATAAATCATATGAAGTCAGTTGTCCTTTGTAGTTTGATGTAAAGGCTTGGGACCGATATTTGGTTTTAAACAATTTGGTGACTTACATTTCATTTATGTTTCGGAAAACATTAAATGAATATGTTAGAGATTTCTTGCTTAAATGAGGCCCCTTTTTAGGAAAAAATGCTTTTCAATATTTCGAAATGATAATGTTAATAATGGTGTTAATAATTATGTTCTTGTAATGATGATGAGTTACTGATGAAGACTTACTAATGATGGTACTGATAATGATAATACCGATGATGATGAAAATGATGACGATGTACTGATGGTGATAATAATGATAATGAATGTACTGCCGCTGATATTCTGAAAAAGATGATGATGATGATGTTGATGATGATTATGATGATTGTGGTGGTGGTGGTGACGATGACGATGATAATGATGGTGATGGTGATGGTAATGATGATGGTGGTGGTGGTGACGATGGTGGTGGTGGGGATGATGATGGTGGTGGTGGTGGTGGTGGTGACGATGACGATGATGGTGATGGTAATGGTGGTGGTGGTGATGATGGTGGTGGTGGTGGTGATGGTGGTGATGATGGTGGTGGTGGTGGTGGTGGTGACGATGATGATGAGCGATGATGATGATCAATGATGATGATGATAATGATGATGATATAATGACTGTGAAAAATCATAAACTATTTATCCGTTAAAATTTATTACCATGTTGATTAACTATAAAAGTATCTTTTTTCCGATTCTGCTGTCATTTTTTTCCCATCCGCAAATCAGAAAAATTGATTGCCGCTCCAAAATAGTAACAGTTATACACAGTGTGAAACAGTAGTCTGTAATCGATTTTGGACAGGAATAAATTACATTTTTTGGGTTAAATAGGCTTTTGTGTCGCTGTATTCAAGAAAAATGGAAAGCCGTAAGTAAATTTAAAATATTTTTACCTTTTAATCATAGTAATATAAATGAGATTTAGGTTTTTAAACGATATATGCAGCCTTGGATATCAAGCTTTGTTTTCAAAACAAAAACAAAAATGCTAGTGGAGTAGTAGACGGATAGATCTAGTTATAGTCTAAATTGATTTGTACCATTATTTTAGCGACCACAGGCAGGCTGTGTTGCTTCTTGTATAGTCAATAATGGTAAAATTATCATTAGATAATCTCCCGTTGGTAAACAAGAACAAAATTACTGTCCAGGAAACGCAATGTTTTTGTAAATGGCAGCCGAGGCTACGGGGAATTTAACACATTCCCGATTGATATAAATGTACATCTATTGAGATAAAAAGTTTGCTTATCGTTTAATTATTTATTGTACATTATGGCTGATATCAACTATTATATCTGACCTTGATCGATATCAAATGTATATACAAAGACATTGTTATTGATTTTAACCTTACTGACCTACATAAATGCGGTCAATGCACACCGTGGCTAACCGTACAAAGTAGTGCGCGATATATGTAACTATAAGACTGCATTTATAAAAAAAGGTCATTTAAGTTTAACAAACGTGAACACTATACAGTATACATACATTAATCTTGATAAAGGAGGATACGAGTCTTTCTTGTTCTATTTATCAAAAACAAACACTAAATGTTGGCCTATTACTTGATAAACTCGTCTACGCATTTGATATAAATACAAACTTAAAACGAAGTCGCTGTAAGTAGAACATGTTACGAAAAATGGATAAAATAAATAATGATTTTTTTTCAATCGTTTTAACTGATTGAAACAGATTCATTACCAGTTATAAAAGTGTGCGTCATTTATCAGACGAAAGAAAACTTAGTACCGATCGAATGGTTAACGAGCTCCGGATTAATTACTTCGAGGCTTGGACAAGGGACATAATTTCTCATGATGTTTTTGTTTCTCGATCATAAGGGCTATGTCTTATGCCTTTGGTCAACTATCTAAGTCGGAAACTGTAGAATTCATATAACTGTTTGCAAATCATAACAAACTTTTAAACTGGTTGGTTATTTAAGATCAATTATTTGACATGATAGTACTTTCAACCTCTTAGCTTCATCCATTGGTCTATGGCATTGTAACGTTGTATTGAGCGTAAAATAGGTGGTAAACTTAGGCTGTCAGCCGCTCAGTTTTAAGTGCAATCCTGGTCATTTAAGAAAGATTATGTTTGCGCCAATGCACGTTGCCATAAAATCACGTGCACTTTTGAGACGTATCACAAGTGAAATTGGTTTTAAGGGTAATAATTGTGATGCAACATGAACCATATACCCGGTTTGCACACTTTATAATTCATTCCATGTACAGTATAAGTATATTGTACCATATTCTGGACGCATATTAACTCAGGTGATAACAAAATAAGTATTCTAGATTGATACATTCATTGATAACTGTATCCTAATCATTCAATGTTGACGCACGGGAAGGTAATATATTTTACATTTGTATTTGGTGGTCTTATATTTATATTATTTTATTGCGTTATTAAGTGTATGTATAATAAGTAACAGAACTTGCAATGTTGATTTCCCTGATTTGTTTTGATTGTGCGTTGTCTTGGATTCGAGCGGGCTTTAGATAATTACAATACGAAACTTCCATTAAGATAGCTTTAGGCATATACGAGCAAGCACTAAGCTTATAGCTGCAATGTTTTCTTTTAAATTGTTGACCCCAACCACTCAGCCACTGAAGGAAACTGTGATTGACACTTTAATAGCATCGCACTTATTTCGTATTTTTTCTTTCAGTAAATAACGAACAGACGGACACAATGTCGGGAAGTTTTCTACAGACGTCTATAGCATTTTTCTTGTTTACACTAGAGTGGTTTCATATATGGGGACATACACTAATTTTGTTCCGAGTGCGGTTACTTCCGCGTAAGGATCTGGTTCGAATTAGATACTACTTTTTGGTCGATCTTCTCACCGTGTTTTCATCATCGATTCTGTTTACTGGAAAACTAAGATGGCTGGCCGTTCTTCAAATAATTCAACATGCATACTACTTCGTCTTTTGGGAGAAGAACTGGGTGTCTAGAAAGGTAAATAAGACTTAAATTCCATGCAGGAACCATGATCTTACTTTTTGTAAAAAAAAACGGCTGTAAAATAATTGTCATCAGCGTCGTTTTTGCTTCTTATTTTTATATATTTTTTATTCACCAAAGCAATAAATCTTCGATGTGTAAATTTTGAGCATTATTTATAAAGATATGATTTAAACTTTAACAGGCTGAAGTATGACATATGACGTTCTTTGACTTAAAGGTATGGCAATATTATCACTACAGATAATTACAAGATAGGTTTACTAAATTTGGAACAAGGCTGTTTTTATTGTTTGTTTATACTCGTACACAATGGGGATTGAAAAGGGACATCACTGATGTTACTCGAAAACTGAAATGTAGACCTTGCCATCTATTTATGCATTGTAAAAATAATCTGTAACTTAAATTAGTTTACCAAGTGTTGAATAAAGCACGGAAAGTAACGGAATATGCCTAACTTTAACGAACTTATGTATACTTGTATTGTAACTTTGAATGCTTACAACATGTTAACGAAAAGGCATTATTTATGTCCTTAAATTATAAGGAAATAATTATAAATTGTGAAGTAAAATTGTTCATCTTATCCATCTAATATTAAACTGTCGTTTATTTCCTGGCATATTGCTCTTGCTTTAAGTTAGCTTAGTTTTTCGTTTAGGGAAATAGTTCAGTTATTCTTCAAATGTTTATGAAAAATAGTGAATTATTGAAGACATTACACGTGTTTTCGAAATCATACAGATTTTCTCAGCTTGCCAAAATTTCTCTAACTTAAAATTTGGAAGGTCTAATTTAAAGTTAGGTGTTTATATATCAAATATAAAAGAGCCACTTATCTTACTTATCTAAGGAGTACGTTGTAAGGAGTAGGAACAGAGATTAAAGCTTTTTGTTTTGAATACATTTCATTTGACAAGTATATTTTTTAATTGATCCTATTTATATTACGGCATGGGTGCATGAATTTTAAACATAAATATGCAATATATTTTACATTATTGGCAAAATACGCCGTCTGTTTCTTATTTTCAAAGGGAAGCAACTTGAAATACCTTGTTTAGGTCGGCGGATGCAGTAGTTAATGTTCTTTGATCGTTTTAGATACTTCTTATTTTATTTTCCTTTATTGATTTAAGTATCTAAAACTTGAACAACTTTTACGATCCATATACTAGAACAAGTAAAATGGTTTCCTGCGGTGAACATTTTAATGATATCAAGATATTTCATTTAACTATTTTCAACATTATTTGGGGGGGGGGGTAGATAAACGTTTGTATCAGGAATATAGTTGACAATTGAATAGAAGAAGCTAGGTCTTGGGAAACTGGTGACCGTTGAAGACCGGAGAAGGTCGAACATAAAACAATTATTTCTTTTTAAGAAAATGATTAAATAGGCCTACCATTTTATGAATAATTCCGAGCAAAAAATAAATAAAGTAAACACACAAGTTTACGCAGAAAATATCTCTATTTATTATGGCAGATGCCACTATGAACATTTTAATTTTGTAGATTTTCAGTATAAACAATTTATTGTTTGTAAAATTTGAGATAGATATTAAAGAAACATTGATAATTTTCAAACACATCATTCAAGTTTTTCCACCTTAAACGGTAAAATAATTATAGAAAATTAGAAATATCACGTAATAATTTTTTGTTCTTAATTATAAGTCCCTACAGGTAAATCCGTAATGTACCGGCAAACGGTATTTAGCTAGGTTTTCGAAAAGGTCAATTAACCAATCATGTACGGTTTACAGATCACATGCTCCTCCATGCGCCGAAAACAGGTCACGTGCTCCTCCATGCCTCAAAAGTTAAACGCGTACCAATACCCTGCGGTCTCCAGACCGCAGGGAACAAACCCAGCCTACGCATCCGTGCTCTATACTGTTTGTAGCTCTGTTCTTGTATCTTGACGTCGTCAATTTAAAAACATGTTACGAGTAGTCATATTTTTGTATTTTAAGATTGTTACATGGAGCTCATTAGACTGGTTCAAAAGCGACCTCAGAACACGCTGGGAACTCGACTCAATTATTGGCACCACATTTGATATTGTGGTCCATGTATGTATGGCGTACTATTTGGGACAATACCTGGATGTTGTAGAAGTAATGGTCGCCTTGTCTATCGTACAAGTGGGCGTACTCGTGTTGCTGTTCGGACCTTATTATGCATGGGCCGCACCAGGAAAGGAACCTGCTTGGATTGAAAAGAGAATTCACCCTGAGAAAATAAAGGAGGAATAATAGAAAGCAGTTTTATTTTGCACAAATTTTAACACCATTTTCTTGTTTTATTTTATCAGCGATAAATTATTACAAAATCTTATACACCTGTCTTAACGTATTAGATAAGTAACTATTGTTACAGTGGCATTCTTGTATGGAAACTGTTTGGCTAGAAATATATGTCTGTAAATTGAAAGAGCGGTGACCATAATGTGCTTGCGTTTTACAGACTAGACAGTGCTTTGTATTGGTAAATATATAATGTTATATCACATACAAAAATAAATGGCTACCTTACATCAGAACCAATACAGATGGTGTGACTTTCATAGCCATATAAACCAGGAACCAGGAGGTTAAATCCCTGTATCAAATGAAATACGTGCTCATAGCTCACGCGTTGTCAACAACTTCCTGTTTATAAAGAAACCAGGACCTTAATATCGATTAATGTATGTGTATAACAGACTTCTGTATTTCAATGTTTGAAGTAAACTTAGTAAATAAGTGAGCTAATAGTTATGAAAGAAGAAAATACAATGTAGTTCAACCTTTGCAAAGCAATTCCCTTAAGGAACTATTAGTTGTGTTTTGCAAGGTGTTCTCTGTATGAGGTTTATTTAAGTGTTTATTCCTTTATTAGGAAGATTTGATACTGTCGTTTAGCGGATTGTTCTCTGCAGGCGGTCTCTCGACAAAAGTTATACTATATTATGAGAAAATTTTGCTGACAAATGAAAAGCAATAAATATTTTATTCACAATATTAAGTATTCCAATTTGGCTGTGATATTCTTCTCCCCCGATTTGTATTGTAATTCTGTCCACCAGAAAATATTATATTGTAAAAGTCGAAGAAAATGGAAAGTCTTATAATGATGAAACTTTATGTTTTATATATATGTCTACAAAACTTGGTGGCAGTATATATAAGGCTTAATTGTTAATTCATATTGACTTTCTATGTATAAAGATTTTGTAACAATGGCTTTTTCTATGTTATGAGTTTTGTTATGTTTAAGTGTTGCTTATATGTTAAGTGTGCATGGTTATGTTCTAATTATTGTGTTTTTGTAAGGTTAATATTTGGCTATAACTTGGCTATGGCTACGACTTGGCTATAACATGGCTGCAACTTGGCTATATCTTGGCTATAATGTAGCTGAGTTTAGACCCCTTGCCAATAAGTGCTGTTTAAACAATGCAAACGTTTTTTTCAAACGATATTTTCATTTAGCTCAGATTTTGCTTTCTTTATGCTTTTTTCTCGTGTACTTTTTGTTTAATTTATTGTAAAAAGATTGAGTTATGTTTAGACATGTATTAGTTTTGATTTATTTTGTTCATGACATTGTTGACTCATTTTTTTCATATTATAACTCTTTTATATGATTGTTATTTTGCCTAAATACAATGCAATATTTTTTTTCAAATTTTCAAGGTAAAGTGGATATCTGCATTTTAGTTCGACTATTCGATAAGAATAAGCAGAGCTATTGTAGTCATCCGAGCGTAGGCGTCGGCGTAACCACTTCTGTTAAAGTTTTTGTAACACCTCAAATATTTTCAAAGTCCAATGACATATGGCTTTGAAACTTTGCACACTTGTTCACCATCATGACCCCAACCTGTAGACAGGAGGAGGTAACTGTATCAAGCATTTTGACAGAATTATGCCCCTTTTTCGACTTAGAATTTATGTTAAAGTTTTTGTAATACCTCAAATATTTTCAAAGTCCATTGACATATGGCTTTGAAACTTTGCACACTTGTTCACCATCATGACCCCAACCTGTAGACAGGAGGAGGTAACTGTATCAAGCATTTTGACAGAATAATGCCCCTTTTTCCACTTAGAATTTACATTTAAGTTTGCATACCACCTCAGACATTTTCATATTCTATTGACATCTGGCTTTGAAACAAGTTGAAATTTTATACTCTTCTTTGAGAGCATAATAGGACTCTCTTCAAGGCCTATAACTGTAACATGGATTTAAAGAAAAAAATTGCCCTTTTGTTAACTTAAAATTTTTTACATTATCAAGGCTTTTTTTACTATCAAGCACTAAGAATAGTCGAGCGTTGCTGTCCTACCGACAGCTCTTGTTTAACTAAATGAATAAATATGTTTAGATTTTACTAGATTATGGACTTGATTATTGCATAATCTTTAATGAAATATTTTGAAATAGGAACATTATTTGATTCAAACTAAAATATAAATCAGATTATTTGATTTTGGAACATGAAATTTAGGTATCGAATAAGACAAATATCTAACATTTGTATTGAAATTGAGTTGCAGTAACAATTTCAGGCAACTAAGTATCAAAAGTGTTGTTGTAACTTTATCACACAGGAAGTGGTATTTGCACCTGTAATACAGTGTAAAATAGCTTACACACTATCTAGATAAATTTGATTTTTAGCTTACACCAGTTTGTGTGTAACTTAAGTCTTCGCTCTTGAAGGATTTTTGCATGAAAGAACATTACAAACATACACTTTTAAATGGCAGGTCTTATTCATGGTGAAAGTTCTTGGAAGGCTGTTCTATACTTAAAATAAGCGTTGTTGGAGAGAACCTAATGACACTTTTTAATGTATATACGTGTTAAGTTAGTATTCTTAAAATCTTAAATCAATGCATTCTTTATGAAATTTTTATCTTTATTTAATGTGATATGCTTAAATTATATTGATTTATATTATATTTTAATCATTTTGCTTGTTTCTTTTTGTTTGCTTTTTATCATTTTTTTATGTCTCCTTGACCGTACGAATGGTTTTATGTACAATAATTTCGAAACTTGTATCTTTTGTTCATTATTAAATTTTAAGATTTCACATAAGATTTTTGCAAAAAATACATATGATAACTGATCAACGTATGAATATTTAAGGGTAGGTTACATATATTTCTTGTAAAAACATGATGTTTGTATTTAACGAGAAATTACACACTCCAAGTCATTTTATTTACATAATTTTAACGTTTAATTAGGTAAAAGTAATGTTTATGGCATTAGACATATTAGAGCTTGAATTGTTTTTCACCATAATTTAATTGAGCCGCGTCATGACAAAACCAACATATGGGTTTGCGACCAGCATGGATCCAGACCAGCCTGCGCACCCGCGCAGTCTGATCAGGATCCATGCTGTTCGCTATTAGTTTCTCTACTTGTAATAGGGTTTGTAAGCGAACAGCGTGGACTCTTACAAAACGAGAAATGTATAATAGCCACCACCCTAATTCACCATTAACACCAACGTTATGTGTATTTGTTGTGACATTTACACACAACTTAAGGTGGATATTTTAAATTCTTTAGATTTGGAATGACTCCATTCTTCAGCAGAGTAAATAAGTTAAGATTAAACCTACAAATTAATTAAACAATTGGCATTTGAGTTTATGTTTTATATCTTATCATTTATAACTATTCATTGATACATACCTATAATGTCTTTAAGTGCTTTGCCAATTAAATGTCCCTAGTTTTAAGCTACAAGTGCGAGAAGAAATGAAATAAGTAATAGGGTACAATATTGTTAAGGCTGTTGTTTCTAAAAGTTTGCCCATTGTACACACATTTTTCAATTGTAATCATTCCTACCTCTTCACAATAACTTTTGTTTTAATGCATCGAAATATATAAATTATATAGATTATCTAAACTTTATTCCAAATATTCTGATATTTTACCATGTCATCAGCAAATAACAAGATAATTATATCATCAATTTGAAAACCTGCATTAATGTTATTTTGGAGATATAATTCTAGGTTTTCAACCGGTAATGAAAACATCAGAAACAAAATTACCTCCCTTTGCCTTATGATCAACTCTTATTTAACATCCACATGATTTGTTAAGCAAAGGAAATATAATCTTTTTTTTCTGATTGATTAACAAAGTAGCTGTTATTAAAAGCTGCAGGCCTCCAGATGAGCCTGAATATGGCAAGAAAATCAAACTTGAGAAAAAAGTAGTAATATTTGAAGAAAAGTAGATTGATTCAAGATTCAAGTATTAATCTACATGTTATATGCGATTTAAGACTGATCTCGCAGCATTTATCACCATCTTTTTCTACTGCGTGACTAACGCAGTAAGGGATTTTTTGCATATTTTGAACTTTTATTTGGTAATTTTCGTGGATTGCAATGTGTAAATTACTTTCTTTGTCTACTTCACAAGATTTTACTATTGAATATATTTTAGAAATTTTCATGAAATTTAGCATGAATCTGGTGTCGTGCTTCTTTAATAAGTGGACAGAAAAGTTAGCCGAACATAAGACCCTTGTGATGGTAGGACATTAGTCATGTTTGGGCGTTTAGTATGTTGAGTGTATAACTCATTGACGGATATCCTATCAACATGTATAACACTTATATCATACACGTGGTTAATATAACTTAAACATATTTATTATCTTAATTTTTTGTTAAAGTAAAACAATATAATCAAAGGCGGATGTGGTTAAATTTAAAGTTGTTAAAACTGTAGCAGTTTTTTTTAATGTATTGACAACTTTTAAAACAGGATGTACATGCAGTTTTAAAAGTCAGATATTGATCTTGAAATGACGATTTACTTACGTTTTAATCGTTTTGTAAGCTTCAAATGTAGGTTGCGCAAAAAGATTACAGAAAAAACCAAATACTTAAAATAAGAAAAATGATTTCTCTGTTTGATTTGGGTCGAATCTAAAGAAAAGTGAAATTTGAATTATATGTACTTATATTTAATCAGTATGTTATCAGTACGTGACGTTATGACAAAACGTCTTAATTTAAGCCCTATCGGTGTCTTAGTAATAAAATATGGTGTCTTAAAATGAACTTACGGTGTCTTAGAGGTAATATAGGGAAGTTGCACTGTGCTGTTACGGTGGTCTTAGTGACTTTAATACGGCAGAACAAATGTTCTGATACTAATTTTGTTATTTAATGGAACTTTTGTCTTCTGTTCTTTGAAGATCCATATGTAACAGTTTATTAATAAGAACTGAAAAGACATTCTTCCTCACTAAATACGTGTTATCACGAAAGCACTGCACTCTCTTTTAAAAGGTAAATTTACCTTCACTTTTAAAAAAACAGTCGTGAACTATTACAGTCACTTTATAACTTTATACTTAGACTCGATTTTCTTGTCACTGCACTCTATTCCAACACTTTTTCCCCTTAATAATGTTATAGTGCAACATGTTTTACTTAAGATCTGAAATTCAGTCAAACTGATGTGCTGCCAAAACTGTCTTAAAGACCACCTTTAAATAAAGGTCACCCTGTACATAGAGGCCACTTTTTTGACAACCCTTTGATAACCTTTTTTCACAGGGTTGCCTGTACTCGTTAACACTTTCCTACAATTTATAATTGATTCTAATTATGAATTATTGTATTATTAATTTATATATACATAGAAATATTTACAATGGGCATACATTTATAATTTGCTGGGAAAAAAACAAAACCGGGTATATAACCTTACAGGAACAACTTGAAACCTCTAGATTTAAGTATTAAAATGTGTTTTAATTAACTTAAAGGCTTAAAGTTAATTTTAAATTTACCTACATGTACAGTAAAATTTTCCACCTGTTTTAATGTTTTATTAATGTATATAGCTGAAGTTCTCATAAATAGAGTCGCTTTTACTTGTTGTGTTACTGCTACAAATGTTGCAGGGTTTTTTTTTTTAAAAAATATGTTTAAGCTATTTCTTTTTCATTTCTCATGATTTTGTGTTTTTTTCCGGGAAATAAATTATTTAAACCGGCCAAACTATGTTTATTGTTTATTGATTGAAACCCCGCATGTGCAAGTTTTCTTTCTGATGTACATTTGTCTCCCCTTAAATGAAATTGTGTATAATGCTTGGAGACCACAATCAGGTTTCTTTTGGACAAAGTGTGTAAGTCAATTAAAGAAAACGATAAAGTAAGTCGTTATATGTGTTGTTGTTGGCTTTGTTGTTATTGTTGCTGTTGTTGTTATTGGTGGTAATGATGATGATGATGATTGTTCGAAAATCAAACCTGATACACTCTAGTGAATGGTCCTTGCACCTGTAAAACCATGTTATCATCATGGTACACCCTGTGATATGTTTACAATACCAACTGACGTGTAGATTAACCTATTTGATGAATTACTTGGTTACCAAACTCAGATTAGCAATTTAGCATTTACAGATTAGAAGCAATTATAGCATCAGGGGAATTTTTAATTAATTTATTAACAAGGTTTATTTATCATTATTCACCTATCATACCTAGTTATCATTCATCCTTTAAACGGTTTGGTCTGCAAAGAACATTCACTTTCCGTACACTTGCAGAATATGCTAATGTGTATGCCCATTAAAGACGAAAGTCGACTGTATAATATTGCATATGGTAGATAATTAAGCCGATATACATGGACGGGAAAGATCGATGCATGTTCCACAGGTTACATCATGTGACTATAAATCTAAAAATGATGGCCCTAGACTGAGTCTTACTCATGATCTCTATGTTTAGAGGCAAATATAACCACTGACCACCTATCTTGTTTTCACTAAAGTGATATTCATGTTTCATAAGGCATCTTTCTCATGTAGAGAAAAGCAAAACAAGTTTATTAGGACGAACGGTTAAGACGTCTACCTCTCAACCCACGAATCATGGGTTCGAACCCTACTTGAGTCACGACCATGTTTCTTCATGTGACACCAGTACTTGTTAGTCCCAAGAAGCGAATTCGGGGAATTTGTTCTCATCATTATCGAGTTAAACCTAAGGAACATATATAATAACTCTGCAAAATAAGTAAGCTCTCGTTTTCATATTTATCAGTTTTCATGAATTAAAACTTATGAAAAACATTCTCGTAACAAAATCTTGTTTTGTGGCACTCTGATTGGGAAAGAATATTTGACAGCGCACTATACATGCAAAACTTCGGGCCAGGTTCAAGCAGATTACCTAGCCGTAGCAGTTACTGTGGCCTTTTTCATGGCGCCCTAGATTAATCATTGGTTAACTGTTTCAGCAATGACCGGTCATTCAAATATCTCACTCCAAAGTTCTATTTCAGTAATGATGTCCTTGACTTTCCACTTAACTATACTAGCAGTATATTTCGCTATACTAGCTGTACATTTCGCTATACTAGCAGTACATTTCGTACTTAATATATTGCTTTGAAATAACTTCCCGGCACTTTAACGCCGGGAGCTAATCTGTATCACCCAGACGTTTGAGAGGTGGTTGGTATGATACAGACTAGCAGAAGACGCGGGGAAAGGGTTCGGAAATCATTTTGACTTTTTGTATTTAAAATGACGGGTAGGAAAGGGTGGTAAAAAACTTAAGAAAAAATATAATTAAAGTTTAATGTATTTCAATAACGTATAAATTGCATAACATGTAAACATTTTACTCGTGACCTCACGTCATTCAACAAAAAAGAAGTTGCAAAACTAAAATGTAACATTTCTTCTCACTAGAATAGATCTAATTCAATACAAATAAACTGGAACAAAATAGACTCCATTGGTCCCTCTATTATTTTGGTCCCCTTCGACTTTGACCGTGTTTACACTTTGAACTTGTTTCAGGCTTTGAACTTGTTGCGAGCTTGAACTTGTTCAAGCTCAGAGATTCAAAATGTATAGAAAAATGTAACACAAATAATTGAAATGGAAAGCAGTAATAAAAGATAACAATGCATAGAAATAGGACATGGTTAGGGGCAGTATCATAAGTAAATAAGAAAACATTATAAGGCACGGTCTGCTGTGTCCAAAATATTAAATTAAAATAATTAGTTCTTATATTTACTGTAAATTTATCATAATAATTGTTTTATTATAATCAACCCGATAGTGTGGAGTGTTTTAAATAAAATTGCGTATAAAAAATAACTTAAATTGATATCTGAAATAAAATGGGGGAAAAAACTACCATGACAATGGACAAAAGAGTTTGTCAAATATGAGTACTGTACATTTGTACACTTTTCTATCAGTGCACAATAGAAAGCCGAACACAATTTATTTATGAGGCATTAAAACACTATCACTTTATGAATTAAAAGCTTAACAAACAAACTTTGTTATTATGTTATTATGCCATTATGATGCGTGAGATATTTATAAAATAAACAACCGTCCAGATTTTATTATTCTAATCAACAATATGTCTTGCTTTTCCGAAATTTTGTCCAGCTTGAGACGCCCCCTTGTTGCTTCCCATTTGTAATCCAATCACATTTTGACCGGCTTTCAACTGTTCCTCCGTCCACTCGCGTGACTGGCGTTCAGATTCTTTTGGACCAATACCTTTTCCGCCTTTGGAATTTACCTGAAGACACAAATAAATAAATTTAAGATTACAAGGAGAGGTTAAATAGTTGATGGGTTTCAACAGGTACGGTGCACGAAGCTCGAAGAAAACAATTCAGAATATTTTAAAGTTCAAGGACGAATATGTACATCTTTAATTTTACTGACCAATTTACCCAATTATTTGTATTTATAAACGCTAAATTTAAGAGTTTTTATGCAACATTAAAAGACACATTTAAACAGTGCTATAGTCGAAATTTAATAAGTTTGTGTGTGTGTGTGTGTGTGCGCGCGCGTGCGTGCGTGCGCGCGTGCGTGCGTGCGTGCGTGTTGGAGGGGCACGTCAAACCCACACAATATACGTTATATGGCGACATTCCAGCTGGTGGAGGAAGACCTAGGGCGCCCTTTCGTGCATTACCTCAGGTATGAATGGGCATCTGAGTAGAACCACCCACGTTCCGTAAGCTAGCTGGATAGCTCCCTCACATGAAAGAATTCAAAGTCCATGTCGGGATTCTAACCCACAGCGGTGAGGGGCAAGTGGTTTGTAATCAACGACCAATAACCTTCGGTCACAGGCGCCACCTCCCCGTCCCCACCCCAATCCCAAATAAAAGAAACCTTATAAGTGTAGTGATAATACCAGAAGTTAGACTTACCTTTCGGCCTAGAGCGTGAATGGATAGAACAACTTGGGTAAGATTAGTTCTCTCGTAAAGATCAACTGTTTGGAAGGAATCGTGTTTAGCAACGCCATATTTTTCTATTGCCTCTAAGAATGCATTAATATTCTCCATCTTTTTAAAAGCCAATTTCTGCCTTTTAAGTGTTTTTATACTGGATGGTTCGATGGCTTTCATTAAGCTGGAAACAAAAAAAACAAGATCATTGAAGGGAGATAAATCTAACTGAAATGAACGTTTACGACATAAATCTGTTATTTTGAGTAAATAATCTTATCAATTTTCAAATGATTGTATAAAGATGTAACAATATTAAATTCATATGATCAAATTATGGTTTTGAAATAAATGCATAAATGTATAACACTAACACGAACAAAATTGAACAACGTGTAAAACCCCTAGGTATTCAATCATATATCGATGTAGGATATGTCATTTGGTAGAACAAACCGAAATGATTATAATATACTTACGCACAAAGAACATAACCGTCTTCCAAGACTTCATAAACATTGTCTGCAGATCCACTGGTGTTGATTGGTCCTTCACCAATCGCGGATATCCTATCATTTATCCAAGCCATCGCTTCATGTGCAACGGCATCGTCATATTTTGCGTTCATCTGCAAATATAGCGGAAATTTATGGTTAATACATACAGCACATGGCACCTTATATGATTTTACTGGGATCTTGTAAGAGTAGTTTTAACAAAAAAAGAGAACATGTTGCTGTCACTATCTTTCTTTTATTAGCACGTTTTTTTACACAATGTAAATTATGAATTTATCATTATAATAGAAGCATCCTAATGTACATACGCAAGAGTCGTGAAGTTTGTGACATCATTTCGCGTTTTATATAAACTTTTGGTTGGGTTTTGCCATTGTTAAGATCATAGCTTTACTGAAATTTTTTCTCAGGTGTTCTCGTCGTCATGTACGAACGGACACATGGGTAGCACCAAATACATTGTGCGCTAACTGAAAATAGCTTCCTAATATGAAATTTTCTGTGGTCCAGTTCTGAATTCGAATCCTAGTCGGTGAGGGACAAGTAATTAAAAATCAGTGGCCTTCACCATGAGTGCAAGGGGGTCGGTTCACAGTAATATATGTACTCATCTCTTGTGAAGACATTATTATACATTTAAAACAAGCTTCAATTATTTTAGATCTGAAGTTTTCACAAAATCATGTTTTTATTGTTTATTTTATTGCTGCGATGATGTCGTTGTCGCCTTTATTGTTAAAATAGTACCCATGCTTAATGTAAGGAACATATTAATAATAGTTATACTAACCGTACAATCATAATTGTAAAAAAAAAAGGTTGCAAGTGCGTGGAAGGCAAAATTTCAATGAAAAGTATCAAAAATTTGTCTAGTTTACAACAATGTAACAATGAATATATAAAAGAAACACATTTACATATTATGCAGACATTTCTGTCGTATTTGTACTTGAGATTTAATAAATAATACACTTATAATATATCTATATTTAATGATTTATTTATACGATGAATTACTTCAACCACATTCGTTTACTTTCTTACGCTGACATTAAGAAAACAAATGGTACATTTGCACTTTTAATCTGCGTCGGTTACAATTTTGAGGTCGACGGGAAAGTCTGGTCATTTCGGTGAAAAAGATCGAATTTCAATTTTAAGCAGAATGCAAAGTAGCTCGTGAACAAAATACGCCCCTATCAGAAATGGCAATCGGCACGGTGGGTTTGTTTAATATAAGAGGTTGATTTTGAATCACATATTATTTCCTGTTTCTTTAATATGCAGTTATTTATCTAATACAAGTACCAGAAAAAAACAACAAATTAATGTCTTATTACTATAAGCTGTGGCGTTAATGAGGATGGTTCGTGAAAATTCGGAAAATATCGGTACTTTCCGTGTAAACAAAGTAAAAACTATTAGATACGAGAAAATAGCAACATTTTCAGAATTTATACATGATGTTGACGGATTCCAGAGTACTTAAATCAGAAATTTCGCCGAAATACTTTCAGAAACGCCAAAGAAATTCATTGGGTATATTTTGATAGCAAAAACCACTTAAATTACCAAAACAATATACATGTAATTTAGGCCAAACGAATATGAAATGCTTACATATAGTGGTTACTTTAAACTGGTTTATGTAAGAGACGTAATGTGTGACAGATATGTACAGTCGAAAGATAAATGCGCGAATATTTTCAAATCATTTTAGCGCGACATTCCTATCTCAGTTTGTATTTATATATTAGACATTTCCCCATCGACGCAAACTTTTATACATTTATAACATTTAATACTTGACTGAAAACCAGCGGGATTCGCATCGTATCGCTTTCAATATAAACGAGTGGAAATTAAATACATTCTTTTATAACCACCGTCAGGATTTAATCACGAATGAGAGGAAGTGAATCAATCCCTTTATTTACCAGCTTTAATCAATATGCTTGATTTTTTTATACGCGTCCAGTAATGTATCTTTAATTTGTCTCAATAAATGCACCTTATGGTAAGAGTGTATTTCAGATTAAAGGTAGTTTCGTATTTGGCATAAAAATGTTTAAGTTTTTGCCGAGAAGAAAAACGCACCTTTTAAACCTAAGAGTCACTTAGAACAAACATTTACCAGCCAAGAGTTTTTCCTTTCGAAACATTGAGAAAATAGTATAAAATTTTGGTAAAGAATCGATATTGCGACAATGTTAGATCACATTGCGACTCTTAAACTTCACTGCTCGAACAAGACCCGGTCACCAAAGGTGTTCATCCGAGCATGTTTTCTTGAGCAGGCACAGCCACTGGCCTTCCTATGGCTGACTGGATAGATTCCCCTAGTGAGTGAGTGTAATGCCACTGACGGAAATCGAGCCCATAATGCAAATGGCAAATATCCTTCTGAACCCCTAAAATACAGTCTAACGTCTTCAGAAACAACAACTTTTGGAAGACACACATGTTGGTTGTTGCTGGGGTTCAAGTTGTGTTGCTCTAAAAAGGGTTAAATTAAAGTCCTAACTATTGTAATTGTGAAAAGGTAATTGCTCTACTGAGGGCCTCTCTGTGGAGGTTTTTTTCAGGTGTAAATAGATTTGCAATGTTGTTTAATTAATTATATGTTTGTACTGAATATCATTAATAATATTATATTTACAGAGAGATACTAGAACACCGACAAAAACCTGTAACAAACACATTTCTACCTTACAAAAACGTTAAGAGATCCCTCTGAAATTTGACATGCTTTGTATGCCTCCGCTTTATCAACGAATATCTAATGTCAAGTGCTTTGTATTAATATGCCATTTTAGTTTGTTTCAGTTATAAACCTTGCAATTTCGGTTCAAATTTAATAGGGCCGTAAAATTGACACCTGTCAATGAGTAAGAACTAAATACATGTACATGAACTGGGAAATGCAGGAAATAAAGACACATGTATATCGATGCTGATTAACAGTGGTAAAGCAGACTACATTGTGCCAGACATCGAGACGGAAGTTTGTTTACCGCCCTCGTGAACTTTTATCATTAAAATTCCGTGAGAAGTTTTCAGTTCCGTGCCGGTCTGAATCATAAAGTTAGCGTGCATAACAGACACGCATGTACAATTTTAAAGCGTGTACGATTCGTAAATTACTGATATGCTGTATCTATATAACGTCCTTATCATATTTATGTGAATATTTCACATATTTTGGCTAGTTTCATAATTTAATGTACGACAAATAGGCCGCTAAAACTAAACTAAAATACGAAACTTGAACGTTTGTTTCATGATTAAATTTCTTTTCAATATTTCCTTATACATGTACAAAGTACCTTAGACACGTACAAATAATTTAAAATTTGCGTTTTCCGATATTTTATTTTTTTTAATTATTTTGTTAGTTTGTTTTTCTTTCCTTTTCATATAAGTCAAGTACATATTTATCTTTTAATCTAGATACATTCTTTTCAAGTCCATTTAACACTGACATAAGTGACTTCGTTACTTCTGTCCTTGTACAAAATAGTTTTACTTAAGTAGGATTTAGTAGTGAAAATATTTCGCGAGTTTGTTTAAAAACATGAACAATATTTTATATTCAAATGTAGTGAAATCGCCTTAAGTAAGATCCTGCGTGATAAGAACAAATTAAGATTGCCACGTCATGCAGTTAATTCATACAACAATGCTGTAACAGACGACCCACTGTCTCGATCTAACAGTGAACAATTTAATGCACACAATGAACTGTTATTTTACAACATAAATTCAGATTTTAATGACAAATAAAAGCAAAGTTTTGCTTTGTATTATTTACATACAGATTAATACATTCAGATAATATTGCAAAGATTCAGAAGGTGTATAAAAAGATATATTTATAAAATGAAAATAAGATCATGAAGAAGAAGTGGTCACTAGACTCTGCACTTGCTGGGTCTAACTTATGAAGAATATATGAGCCATGCCATGACAAAACCAACATAATGGGTTTGCGACCAGCATGGATCCAGACCAGCCTGCGCATCCGCGCAGTCTGATCAGGATCCATGCTGTTCGCTTACCAAGTCTATTACAAGTAGAGAAACTGATAGCGAACCGCATGGAGCCTGATCAGACTGCGCAGATGCGCAGGCTGGTCTGGATCCATGCTGGTCGCAAACCCATTATGTTGGTTTTGTTATGACGCGGCTCATATACTTTACTCAATTTGATAATTTTCAATGACACACTCTTCATTTAGCAGACGACAATTTTAATTGGACTAAAGCAATTCCTTGCCTTTCTATCCCTTATTCTTTTCCTTTCTATTCATTTTGCTGAAAAATTTCCACCACAGCCTCTATCTTTATGTGAAACATGTATTTAGAGATTATATTTTCCATTCCGTATTCCGCAGACGACAATCATCGATCGAGAAAAAGATACATTATGTTTATTACATGTACGCAATATTCATTACCGGCACAGCTGCCTATTTTCACCCGCAGTTTGATCGATACGGTAAAACAAGTCCTTTTATATACATATATTTGATGTAGATAGATATCATATGAATAATATTCATAAAATATTTATTTACACATATAAATGTCACGGTTGTTTCAGTTCATTTACATTTGTAGCTGGTTGAGATTTCTGTTTAAAATGACACTTGGCCCTTACCCATAATCTTTGTGTTTGGAATTTGGAAATGTTCATTTTCAAATTTGAGGGATGTCAGTACCCACATGTACAAGAAGTCTAAGCTAATATCCGGAAGTAGAGATGTTTGTCAGACTGTACGGATGAGTGGCCAGGTCTGGCGCTGTACCAGCAGCTTGAGAGTGTTAGTGTTGCCGCTAATGATTAAAAGGGTTAAAGAGAATAATGGTTTCTTCAGAACAGATTGACATTAGTGCACATGACTCCCAACACTGGTTGTTCGTGCATGAGCGGCCATACCTATAATTGTATCCATAACCAGGAAGCTAGCAAACATTGCCAGGAATGCAAACCAGGAATGCTAATCATAGGTCAGAAGCTTTTAGAAGACTCTTTTCACACGCCAAAAAATAGGTACCTAACCAGTAAAACTTTCAAGGTCCCCGACCTTATAAAGGGTGGAGTGTCATTATGTGGTAGCATTATAAAAACTGTTGGAAGCTATAAAGTAGACATAATGAATTGATGCCTACATGGCAATGGTTGTTCTGAAAAGGAAATCGTTCACGATCATTTGTAAGTGGTTAACTCTTAAAACATGTATTAATATCCAACATTCTCTAATGTGGCTACCAATTTATTCATTCATTATGTATTTACATGCAATAAAAAGACCACAAAAACAGGAAACAAAAACAACTTATAGCTCTTTATGGGTGTTTGCTTTTTTTTCAAAATCGAAGGAAATATTTTTTCTCAAATTTCTGATTTACAATAACCGAAAGAGTTTCTTTAAAGAATCAACCTTACAGCATTTTTTTTTAATGAAATGCCTTCTAGCGGCCATGAATGATCGGGTGTTGATTCTGTTTATAAGTTGACAACAAGTACACAAAAACTATTGTTCATACAAAATTTGTTTAGATAAATATAATATACTCGTGTTAACCACTTCTAACCAGACTAAGGTCAAGGATATTTCGAACTTTCGAACTCTTAAAGTGTAACATGTATAATGATGTTTGCGATAGATCGATACAAGTGATTGAACGATGATAAAAAGTGTTTACAAAGCCGATATCCTATCCCATTTACATGATCAAAGTTAACGATATGAATCACTTCGGTGTTTTTACCTTTTTAAAGAAATACAAATTGCAGTGCGTCTATCTTACCCTTTACAAATAAATGACGTAAGAACTAATTATCGGAAGCACACCGATTAATGTCTACAAAAAAGTTCATATCTTAAGTTTAAAGTTGTAATGTCAAAATGTAAAACTAATTACATTCGTTAATCACCTGGCTAATACCTGACTATCAGTAAAACCAATTTCTTTCTCTTTTTAATACACTTTTTATTTATCTAAATGACCAATGGTAATATTAAAATTTAATGTTGAAATGAATACATTTTTGTAGCATTTTTTAAAAAAAAGAATGTTCCATTTCAACACAGTTCATAGTGGTTTCAAGATCCTGTGGAAACCCCTGTGGATAATTTTCACTAATTTATTCAAGTATTATGGTTAACGCCCTGCGGCATTATCACTCAGAAGCGATAACAGTCACTTTCCCGCTCAAACAGGTTGTTAACTTTCGCTTTAAAATGTCGTCTGCTAAGTATGGCTGTAAAACCGAGCTGTTACGATGGGGATTACCACTTCTGATAAATTACTAGTGGACAGTAGTAATTGATTTCTGATGTACAGCATATTTATTCAGTCACGTCCGTCGGCATGTTTTAACAAAAATAACATCTTATACATGCAGACGACATGCATTAAAACCCACGCAGAAGAAGCGTGCTTACTTTAAAAACCATCAAAACAGAAAAATAGCATTTCAATTCATTCGTGTAAAGTGTAATACAACGTGTGAACTGCGTTTCCTTGCGTTATCGCTCAATATTAAAGATAAAAATTATAATATTTCATGAATAGATATAATATACAAATTTAAACACAAACCTTGGCTTGAGCCTCAGCGGCAAATCCTGATTTTTGAGCTCTATTTGCAGCCATTCTGAATAAGTTTATCCAATTTAAACCAAGAAGTGAAAAGACAAAATTTACTTATTGAAATTATTGAGCGAGCAGACGATACGGTGGACTATATATAACTGTACATCGTACGGGATGAATCACGAGGCGGGATTGACGGAGTGATCACGTGACAGAGTTTCCGCGTTACGATTGGTAACTTTGAAGAGGTGAATGGTGCTCAAACAAAAATATCTTAAAAATGTTGATAAACTAATATTTGGTTAACTAGGACTAAAGTAATATAACCATCCTATACTTATTAAACCGCTGCATTCTTTTTTTTAACATTTGATGTAAAAAAAAGAGTACTTGCGCGTAGGCAGGTAAACTTAAAGCAGTGACGTACTATTTTTACACATTTTTGTTTGTTGTTTATTTGTATAATAAAAAATTTACCTTATATGGCTTTAAACATGTAGAATTCTATCGATTAGGTTCTATTAATTATTTGACATGCCAGTGCATTTAACTATATATTTGACACCATGATATATATATATATCTATGTGATAAGCATAAAGATAAAAAAATAGATAAATAAAGTAACAATATAGACAGATAAACAACCGGTGTCAATCAATTTATGCTAGTTAATATGTGTTATTTTGTATGTGACGTTACATGATTAAAACTATGAAAAAAGTCGTTGATAGTAAAACAAGAAGAATTCTATAAAACTCGACTTTCGTTCTTATCTTTTTCCATTAAATAAAAATATTTTGTTTTTTGATGATAATTACTTACATTTTGGGGAAAAAAATATATTTAAACCTTATACATTTACGGCATGACCCTTAGGTAAATATTTCTCTTTACCAGCTTATACATGGCAAGGAGGCGGATTTGAAAGTTGTTTGGATAATAAGCTTAATATTTCTGTCTGTCTTCTGATTTAGAATTAAGCTGAAAAACAGATATAAAGGGTTTCAAAATAAGTATTTTCATAAATGTTTATAGTCCTTCTATCTATATCTATCTCTATCTATAGTCGAGATCTTCTTTCTTTGTTCTTAATTCAGAGACGCCTTTAACCCGGTAGTCTAACTGGGAAAAAACGGCTATTGTTCAATTTTGACTTAACAAAGCACTCTGTAACAAAGGTTTTTTTGTTGTTGTTGTTGTTGTTGTTGTTGTTTTTATTATTATTGTTGTTGTTGTTCTTCTTCTTCTCCTGTTTCTTCTTCTTCTTTTTCTTCTACTTCTTCTTCTTCTCCTTCTTCTTCTTCTTCTTCTTCTTCTTCTTCTTCTTCTTCTTCTTCTTCTTCTTCTTCTTCTTCTTCTCCTCCTCCTCCTCATTCTTCTTCCTCTTCTCACTTAAAATAATCTAGTGTGTATCTTCTATAAAACGTAAAAGTATAATCATACTAGTATTGCAATATCGACGCGACTTAAAATTTGACTTGGAACTAAATATTAGGCGACTTTTGTCCCATTTTTTTTAGTTTTAAAATTGTATTCATTCAAACGTAATGCCTGCTGCATATTTAAAAAGGCAATTATATTTTTAACTTCCTTTTTTATTTTATAACCTTCGTTCATGTTCAATTTTTATTACCCTTTTTGTCGTTTGAAGATATATATCAAAAGTATTTCTACAAAGACAAAACAGCATGTGTCCCTTTGTCTGAACAAGTAGTTATCTTCATTGTTCTAGTGTGCCACTTATAAAAAACTTGAAAAATTATGATAATCTTAAAATAGGATGTGCGATACAAGTTGCGCAAACATTCTTGAACGTAGATTTACAAATACCGAATTGGCAGAGTTGAAAAAACAACTTTACATAATTATATTAATGTGCAACTTAATATTGGAAAAATATTACAACAGAAAACTTAAGAACTAAAACTGATAGGAAGATTTAAATTGACTAATCTCCCATTATTACTTAATTGAATATAATAACCACCCGTATTTCAGACATTAAAAACATATGTAACAAAGCAATTCGTTTATGTCTGGTCTCCATCCGCCCTTTCAGGCACTGAGAGTACGGACCCCATTCATGTCCTTAAATAGTATTAAACTATCAAATAGTGACCTAATAATTTTGAAAATTAACAAACATAATTTTTTAAGAAATACAGCGTTTTCATTGGATGACAAATAAAGATGGACACTAAATAAAGTTAAATTGGAAAAATCAGAACAAAGAGGTTACTCATCAAGCAAATAATTACAGATGAATACATAACACCAATCCTCCGTAATTTACAGCAAAGAGAAATTGTATCACAGAAATTATCATGAGCCACAACCCTCCGGACCTAACCCTTCAAAAGAATCAATAGGAGTATCTGTTGCAAAGCCAGTAGTCTGTACAGGTCACTTTCGTTGTGAATGATCATGAAATCCTTTCTCATTCGCACTGTACCCCTGCCCTGGCATTTACAAAAGTTATCAGTTCCTTGCAAAAGTATATAGGCAACTTAATCTGGTAAATTGCTTGACAGCCTGCCCAGGAACGATGCGACGGCTGACCTGAGCTCTGGTAAATTCAACGTGGCTTACTACCAAGATCCGGAGTGAAAACAACCAACCTCCACCGACAGTCTTAATCATTCGGCAGCAAATATTTACCCCGTTGTGCTTAATTAATCACATTCTATAGTAAATTCACTGATTACTCCAGTCATTTTATCGTCCGAGAAAATGCTTTGATTTTCTCCATTGTATCGTACTATGTGTCACCATGTGTAATAACCGTTTGACTTTCGCAGAAAATGACAATCATTAAAGGCACATTATGCCTCAGAAACGATTGATTTTTCTCACTATTTAAAAAGGGCAAACCGAGTTTTAAGATGTTTGAATAGTGGTTGTAGTCGTGTTAGATGTTTTTTACCTGAAGAAAGTAGTCTGGTTTTTTTATTACAATAGGAAATCATATCGAGGCATAAAACAATATCATGTTTACGATTTGACACAATTAAGATTGAGTTTAAACGAATTATTGAATCGGGGTTCAATACGTATGGAACGCCATAGCTGCCTCATGTTGTTAAATTTCGTTTTATTTTTCCCTAAAAGCGTCTTATTATGTATAGTAGAAGTGTTGGCTTGCCAACATTTTATGGGAACCTGTCTTAACGAAGTCTTATTAGGTCAAATATTCATTTTATCTTGTCAAAACGTAGTGCTGACTTGTCTAAACACTGTCTTATTATTTCAAAACGTCATGTTATCATGTGCAAATCCGGTGTTAACATGCCGAATGGAAGTCTTAATATGTCTAACATGCACGCCATCTTTTTGAATTAAGATTTCATTATGTCTGAACAAAGACTTGTTTAAATGTGGTGTTGAATTGTCTTGAAATTGTCTTATCATGTGAAACAGTAGTGTTATCTTGTCGGAAGTTGGTGTCATCTTGTCCAAATGTGATCCTGGTATGTTATGACACTGTTGTATTATGTTATACTGTCGTTTTGTCTTGTCCAAATGTGATATTGACTTGTCTAAACACCGTCACATTTTGTCAGACTGCCATGTCATTGTGTTCAAATTCGGTGTTATCTTGCTTAAAGAATGTCTTTTATGTCAAAATAGCATGCTGTCTTGTCCAACTGTTGTGGTAATTTGTCTAGAAAATGTCTTATTATGTGAAACAGTAGTGTTATCTTGTCGGAACTTGGTGTCAACTTGTCAAACTCATGTCTTATTATGTTGGCTAGTAGTGATATCTTGTTCAACCGTTATATTGACCTGGCTGAGTGCTGTCATGTTTTGTCAAAATGTTTTGTTGCTTTGTATGAGGTGGTGTTATTCTGTCTAATTGTGCCAAAACATCATGCTGTCTTGTCTAAAACTGTTGTTATCCTGTCTAAATATATACTTATTGTGTGAAATACTAATGTTGACTTGCCAATAAATTTTGTTTGTTTGTGTAAACGTTATTTTATTATGTCAAACAGTATTATTGACTAGTCGAAAGATGGTATTGACATTTCTAAACACCGCCTTATTTTCTCAGATCGCCATGCTATTTTGTCCAAACTTTATGTTAACCGGCCTAAACACCGTCTTATTATGTGAAATAATGGTGGTATCTTTACCAATTATGGTTATGAACTGTAAAAACGCTATCTAAATTTGTCAAACTGTCGTGCTATTATGTCCAAATGCAGATTCAACTTGTCTATCTCCGTCTTATTAAGTCAAATAGTCGTATAATCTTGTTGAAACGTGGTGATGACTTGTTTAAATTACTATCTTTTTGTCAAAGTGTCATTTTATTTTGTCAAGGTTCGATGTTATTTTTACTAAACATCGTCCTTTTATGGCGAAGTATCTTTTTTTCCTTTTCAAATGTGGTGTTTACTTGTTGAAACACAGTATCATTATGTAATACAGTATCGTTGACTTGCCAGTTTATGATGTTAACATGTCTTAATCCCGTCCCATTATGTCAGATAATCGTGTTATCCTGTCCAGATGCGATGTTGTCAAAATTAAGTATCACGTGACCAGAACCCGCGCGAAGCGATAAAAGATAGAGGGACAGTTAAGGAAAATCAGACAGCGCTTTCTCAAGACAGAACTAAATTTGAAGAAATTTACACAATTATTAGACATATTAAAACATATTTTTAAAAGAAAACATCAAATTTCGACAATATAACACTTCTGTTTTACACTATAAGAAAGAGTTTAGACAAGTCATTACCACATTTCGACAAGATACCGCAATTTTTTGACTTTATAGGACTGAGTTTTAACCAGTCAAAACTGCTTTTTGACAACATAGCATACAGTTTATCATAATAATGCATGATTTAGCCCAGTCAACACACCATTTCGGCAAGATAATTCGAATATTTGATATAAAAAGACAATTCAGTAGTGTACGTTGGCAAATTAACACAGTTGTTTGACACAATAAGACAATGTTAAGGCATTTAAACACCGTATTTTGACAAAATAACATGGCCGTTTGATAAAATAAAGCTGTGCTTTTACAAGTCAACACCAAATTTCGACAAGAGAACACTACTGTTTCAAATGATCAGACAGTCTTTTGACAAAACAGCTCCACAATTTGACCAAATGGCGCGACTAATTGACATTATATGACACATTTCAGACAAGTCAA